AAATGGCGAAACAATATAAGTTTATTGTGTTACCCCTGTACTAGGGGCGGATCTAGGCGAATTTGTTCAGGGAGRGGTGCTGCGCACAAAGTTAACCCAGGGAGGGGTGCACCCCTTAGAATMAAAGAGAAAAACATTATTTCGTATTGGTTATCTTCAAAGTAGGGGCACAAAGTCGAACCATCCGYCACTGGGGTGTACGCAGACAAATGCGCAGTGCAAAACAAGGGAATTATACCTCAAGTAAATGTTGTCCCGCTCTTGCAGAAGGTCCTCTATGTATTATAATGCAAGCTAAGTGTGTTGTTAACAACTTCTAGAGAAGTCATAGATTTTTGAATCTTAGTCGTTGAACCTTTATTTGTTAAAGTGTATATCAAGGGGAAAAAATATTTTCAAAATCACTTATTTTTGAACAGTGTAGTAGTATGGTTGCAATATTTTTGTATGTGAACTTCTATTTTCAGAGATATAAACATTTGAAATATCAATATGCAAATGAGATGACGTAATTTCAAGAATAGGTTACATTTTGAAGTGTAATTTACAAGTGTTCTGAAGTGAAATAACCTAAAWGTGTACAACGCCATATATTTCAGTCATAAGGATGATTTTCAAATAAAAAAACAGCAGTACTTTCCGCAAAAGCATTTTTGTATATAAATTAGTCTTGAATTTACGTCATCTCATTTGCATATTGATATTTCAGATGTTTATATCTCCCAAAAGAAAATTTCACATACAAAAATACTGCAACCATACTGCTACACTATTCACATATAAGTGATTTTGAAAGAAAAAAAATTTCCTTGATATACACTTTAAACAAAGTCTAAGATTGARTAGAAGGGACTGGCAGGACTTTGTCGTTCGGGTTTTCGCCTTGGAAATGAAATACCATGCAATTAGAAGACCGATCCTACTTGTAGCATGGTACCCAAATGTGATAGTTACACATCCCTTATCCGTTTTGAAAAATATATCTGGAATAAAAAATAGAGACAATAGAAGATGGCCATGTCAGTACCAAATCATCCTTATGCCACATCCAGCTGAACAATCGTTACATTCATGTCACCATATACACGTATATCCATGTCACCACATATACATGCACCTATCGTCATAACATACGCCGTACTATCCACCTATACCACACCAAGTAAACCATTCCTGCTACCATATACAATAGTTCCATCTATTAACTATATTCCCACACACCCTACAAAACGCAAACCATAAACCACTATTATGCCAAAAAAACTACACCCCATATGACACCCGAAACACTAATCGCATACTACCGATGGCACCACATATAATATCCATCCATCATTTACTACATTTTATTTACATCTCAGTGTTATAAGTTTTACATATTCTCTACGCTTGCGAAAGCAAATTCACAAATACATATTGAATATTGGGCGGCAGGGAAAAAAACTTACCTCGGCAAAAGTGCGGCAAGGTCTTTCAGGTTTTATTCGACTCTTTGAATTGTGGTACCGAATACGTAATCATCCAGCCAATCCTCGGAGTAACTTTTGTCATTCTTGCAGGCCTCAAACTATTTGTCGCACGTGGTATTACTACAGATGAGAGCTCCGCTAATAAGAGCACCCGAGCAAGGGCGGATCCAACCAAAATTTTAGGGGGGGGGGGGGGACTAATTGAGTTTCTTCCGTCCACACAACGGAAAACAATGTAAAAAAGCATCTTTTTTTTTTTTCTGCTGAAGGGGGCCTTCAGTCCCCCTTTGCCCCCCTCCCCCCTGGATCCGCCCTTGCCGATGTTTGCCCTCCATTGATGAGTTTTGGATCACAATGATAGAAGCATTCCTTTAGTTTTATCATGAATTTCCTGCATTGCTAAGATATTTCAAGTATCAGTGGTATGAGAAATTACTAGTAGTATGCAGGGAATCCATTCACAAGATTTWAGGGTATCCATTAATCTAAAAACTTTGCTTTTGGCTTGGAATGCAGAATTGCAATTGTAAGCAAATATTTTTCTGAATCTATATAATTAAGAAGTGATATAATCAGTGATGSGAAAAAAAGGGATGTTAAAGTCATTCAACAATCCGGCTCATAAATATTTTTGATAATATTTTGTAAATACAAGCAGACATAAAATAATAAAATAAATAAAATAATTTATTTTTGAATAGTCACTATTTTTGCTTATTGATCCGTCTGTGAATACAAATTCCTCATGAAAATAATATTCTTTGGCAATCAAGACTTTATATTAATCAAAAAAAATATTCAAAAATCTTTTTAGTTTTTTTGGGGGCTGAGAATCTCAAAAAGCACAGTTGTAAAACCACTTTGAAAAAGGTATACATATTTGGAAAAAATTAGCTAAAACCGTATTTTCTCTATCAAGGCATCCCCCGTTCTCATAAGCCAGCTGGTCTCCATTCTAAGTCGCTATTTTAGTAAACGCTGCGATCCTTTTCCTTCGGGCAGATCTCTGAAAGAAATTTCACCTGTCTAGATTATGAATAAAAATAACTATGAATTTCCAGAGGTCAGGGCTAAAGGTATTTAGCCCCGAGCCTCTATTAAGCCCTTTCTTCTAATAAGCTCCTGTTCAAAAGCACTGAAAAAGCAAGAGGAGCTTAATAGACGGGAAATACTGTTTATAAGTCAGAACTGATGAATCCAGCTAGGCATCGATGCTACAAACAAATAAATTGACTAAAACATAGATTGGTCAAGATCTTTATTTCATGACTCAGTACACGAATATACCAGAAGCGTTTTACTCTACCTGTTGACATGTCGTAAAAACACTTGATCCATGGAAGAGGCTGATGAGTATCTCCTCAAGCAGAAAATGAATCCTCACTCTAAGGTGAACCAATCGCCTGTAGATTCTTTGTAGACTACATAACTTTGTCATGCATGGGGAATTCTTGATATTTAGTTGCCTAAAACCTGACTTGGTATATATGATCATCGATATCAATTAGTTCTTTAAAGAGAGATTCCTCATTTTGTWCTAGTCAGCCTCAAAGAAGAAGTCCCTAGAAACTGATAACAGTTACAAAAGCCTTGGCCGACTGTACTGCTGCGTTTACGGACTGAAACAAATGCAAGTTTGTCACCTCCGCCCTAGGTGTCCTGAGAGATAGTAGCCACGAATAGATAGTCTTATTGCAGCAAGGGAACTGAAGCCTTAAGGCTGTGGAATGTGAGAAGGCACAGTGAGTGGTCATCAAAGTGGATATGTGTATAAACCCAAACCACAAAGCATCATCTAGAGTTTTTCGAGGAAGTGTGGATTCTATTCATTCTTGCATACCAGGAAATTACCTATTGCACACACCATTGACAAGCCTAGCCTTCTCTCAGTTTCGCTTAGTTTTTTCTGTTGGATGTTTGGATCATTAAACGCAAATTGTGGTCACCCAAACCATCTTAAACAAGGCACATGAACCATGTACTACGAAGCAGGAATTGGAGCACGAAAACCGGAATCTCCAGTGACTGCTGAGTCTCCATTTGATAGGATAGTTAAATGGCTATCAGTGTATGTTATTGGATTGATGGCACTGTTTCTACTCGTAAAGGAACATGTATTTGGTGAGTCTAGCTTATTGAATATTTCTATAATCATAAACTTTATCTAGGTCATGATAAACATAGAGAGCGTGATCCGCGAAGATGGGTTAGGAACGCTTGCAGTCTAAATAAACTTTTCTTCGGTATTTGCCGAAGTTGGATTATTATTCAAAGCTTATTTCCCACCATTTCCAGCTCACAAGTTAGGAAATTCTTATTTTTGAACTCAAAATAGCTATGGACTCCTATTCAATTTAAGTATCGACTAAAAAAATCACAARTAATTGTGTATTTTTTGTTTGTTTTTAAACACCTGTTTCGACGTTCAGTGGGCAGTTTGTAGAGGTAATGCATGTTATTGATCTCAAATCATTAACCTAGCCGTACTCCGKTTGCATGTTGCAAACTAACAAAAGAAGTCAACTCAATACCTCGATTCCCCGACCGGGGTAAACGTCAGTTGTCATTGCACTGAAAATAGCAGTAGCGAGTTGTACCATATTTTCACGTCTGTAGCTTTACGCGACGTCTCATRTAAAGGTAAACTTTTTGAAATTATTCACAGTAAAGGCCGAAAACAAATTTTTTTTTACTATTTCTTAAATAGCAAGCATCAATCTAGAGACGAAAGCCGGTACTAGGCTCGTTGCTGGTGTTTCGCGTAAAAATGTATTACTATAAGCATTGAGTGTACTGAACTACTGAGCAATTGAATCCCACATGCAATATTTATTTATATTATGAGAAAAACTTATATTCTACGACCCTATCTACCCGACAGCAATAACTATTTGCATGACGTTTCGAAGAACGCAAATGCTTGGTTTTGTGTCAAACGCGTGGAAAAAAACGAGTTGCCGAGATAAAGGAGCAAAGAATATGTTTAACACAAATCAGCCCGCGCCAGTGTTGTCGATTGATATACTGTGYTTTGGATTGGTAAGCGTGAAGACTGACTTTCTGTTTTATTCACAGACGACGTCATGGTTTGTCAGCCAATCAACAGAGCCGTTAAAGAGCACCTGTCCTACTCTCAAACCCAGGCCATCTATGACAAAGCATACTGCTCGGCCAACATGACAGACTTCAGTAATAATCTCATTAGGGCGGAAAACGAGGCCATTAATCGTATTCCTGGGGTCACAGTTCTTGGAATAAAAGGAAACCCCAAGCTTATGTATCAGCGGTATTTTCCACTCGCTTTAGCAATTCAAGCGGTTGTTTCTTATCTTCCGGTGTTGCTATGGTTACTATGGTGTACAGAAAGGCTCACGATCGCTATAAAATATATTGCACACATGTGTAAAGATTTAGCGAAAATGGACTGCAATGGTCACCCTGTGCAGAGCACGCCTAAACCATTCATGTTCTCGCGCGCTGCTTCAGTGGAAGCACGACAAAGATTAGGACAACTGGACTGTCAAATAAATTACTGGCTTGGCCAGAAATACCTAACAAGACTCTTCATCGCCAAGCTAGTTCTGACAGAGCTGATATTCATTTCATCTCTTTTATGCTACTTTTTAAGCTCACCACTCTACGTGTCGAGCTTTAAGACCCAGTTCGTTTGCCGTGTGGATGACTTGAGCCTCGTTTCGTGTACCCTTCCCATCGTACGCATCTATGTAGTTATATGGTACGCGAATATACTAGTGTTGGACATCTGTATTCTTTTCACTGCATTCCAGTTTATGAATATCCTTTGCTGTATGCTCAGGACAAAGGATTCCTTTTTCCTGACTTTCCTTGGCATGGAGTCTGATTCTCAGCCAAAGACCATGACAGACGCACACTTGATCTCGTACTTCTGTTATCAAAACCTCCGGGTAATGCCTCCAGATATTCTACTGTGCCAGGCAACRAGGGCCAAGATATCTTTGACAGCTTCAAGTACTTTGATTTCATTTGGCGAGACCGAAAGTGATTTGTCTGACGAAGCTACACCTTACTATACGGCTGCTAATACACCAATAGCAAGAAAATAAAAGAATACATAAAAGGACCTTAATAATATACAGGATTGCCTGTCGACCTCTTGAAAACCRGCGAATAATGGGCCGGCATGCACCCTAGCACCCAGAGCCTAAAATTATGCTTTTATYGTTTGCAGAGTTTATGAGTTTTAATTACTAAGTCAGGAGTTGTAAAGCTKTTGTTCGCGTTGCTGGCCCGATGGDTCTTTAAAGAGGGAAAGGGAATGGGRTGCTTAAAGCCTTACAAATCACCCACAAATGTTCAAAATATTGATATTGCCTTGCAGTTAATATAGAACAGAAGAGCAAGAGGTATTTAAAGGTACCATGCATTTACCTCCGTTTAACGAAAGCTAGTGATATATATCAGATCGTATTGTTGTGTAAGCTTGCTTTATTTACATCAGCCACGATTACATATTAAGGCAGCCAGTTAGTTTCCGGGTATCCCTATCTATGAGTTAACGTGAGTTTGAGTAGAGGAGATCTGGGCTCGAAATAGCGGCCTGCCAATGGCCAAAATGCAGGTCGAATTTTAATACTGACAGGCTAAAAAAAAAAACATTTTGAACTGCCACGTAAAAAATAGAATGGCAGGGGAAATTTTGCTCAGCCAAAATCATGTCATGCCAAAAACATTTTTTAAAATGTTTTGCCATTTTTATTTCTATTTCGAGCCCTGGACAGATGTACGGAACTGGAAGTAGACTGTTTCCTCGACAACCAAAGAATAAAAATTTTTTCATCGCTAAGAGTTTATTATTCACCACCAGCCGCGAGTTTTTGATTCTGACGCAGAACAGCTCCAGGGCTAGGGTAGGGTCTTTGTTGAAASAGTGGGCCAGATGCCGTCACGTCTGCTCCTGTCTTAGCATCGCCTTTCTGTTGAAGACCCGTGCTCCAGTCACCTCTGTTAAGGAAAAAAACATAAATGATGAAGAAAATAGAAACAAAAACATCCATGGCATCCATGACTGAGAAAGAGTTGTGTAAAACGGGACTTGGGCGAACTATTAATAGCTAATTATGCGAGCGCTGTCACCAATCTTCGTGACATCATTCTACCTTCCGGTTTTCAGGTTTTCCCAAGGCCTGCATTTTTTGCCCGTGAATGAACGGGGTTTGAGTTGAGTCGAGAGACGTCTGACAGCTATAATCATTACTGCCCAATCAAAACTCAACGACAGATGTAGCGTGACAGGTAGGACGTATAAAATCGAGAGTGGGTTCAATTTGAGGTTATTTTCGTATCACTAATTAAAAGAGCTGTCATGGGCGGTGTGTTCCTCGACTGGGTTTCGAGGTTAAACTGACTTTTAAAAAAACGTTCATATAAAGTGCATCTACAAAAACCCTCGTAAARGCCTTTGGTGAATATTACTTTCAAGACGAACCGACAGGAGCTTAAACCGTGCTTGTTTAACCGACAGGACCTTGTGTACAAAAAAAGAGTTCACGTACAGTGCCCTTACCGRAAAGAAGACGAAGACTACCAAAAGAGCACGACAAAAGATAACACTAGTACTATGCCCTTAAGCTTATCAGCAGAAAAGTACAGAAGCAATCCTGAGTAGAGAAGGGAAAATCATTCCAGCAAGCTAAAAATACATTTATGCCTAAAAAACCTTTAACCAAGAATGAAGATCTTTAATTCTTATGTCGATTTGAAAGTAAAATCGACATTGACGATCGTAGAAGAGGATGAAATCAGAATACTCGTACATGTTTAAAAGCAATTAGTTGTGTACTCTGAGRAATTTTGGTTATAGATTTACTATTTCAGTCTACGTTTGAATAAACTACATTTATCATTATTCAAATACATATATGTTATTTACCGTCCTATAGTCGGTCCGGATAGGGAAAAACTGTGMCCGAGGTCTTGAATATACGGACCGAGGCCGTTAGGCCGAGGTCCGTTTTCAAGACCGAGRGCACAGTTTTTCCCTATCCGGACCGACTATAGGACGGTAAATAACTTGTTTATTTTTTTCCCGTATTGTTTTKACTTACTTTGTGTTGTCGTTTAGCGGCAAAGGATACCGGACCGMGCGCGCGGGYAGATACTGACAAAATACCGCCCGCTCAAACAGCCAATCAGAACGCACGATCTTTTAGGATACCGGACCGGAAAAAAATACCTGTGTGTTATTGTGGTATTTCACAAAAAGCATTACAAATATTTTACATAGAGAAGGGGGCGGGGTGCTTTCAGAGAAATTTGTAACAGACTGAACAGGAAAGCTAACTGAATGAGAAATAAGCAGCCATGATTGGTRTCAACAAAGTGGTTGACCCGGCTGCAGCTTCAAAGGGAAATCCCCAAATACAACAACGCCATATCGAAATACTTCTAAGGAATGTGATGAAAAAGAACYAAGAATCACTCATAAGCAGTCAGCAGTGTACATTGGCTATTTTAAAAAAGTCATCAAGTCATCAGTGTTAATATTTACATGTTCAGCTCTTCAGGCATTTCTGTTTGAGAACTTAACAGTGAAGGAGAGCTTAAAGCCTTAAACCAAGAGCTTTGGGCTGTAACAAGGTGGTTGACCTCGTTCCAGCTTCAAAAGGAAATCCCCAAATACCAGTCAATATCAAAATATTTTTAAGGAATATGAAATTTTTCTTGATTTCCTTAACATTTTCTTTTAGAAGGGGAATTCCCAACTTGGTATGAACTTTGCTTCAAGACMATAATGTTTCTATTTGTCACGAATTGCTTTCACGATCATTGAAAATCATACAGCAGAAACAATTTTTTAAAAATCGACGTAAAATCAAATTTCTGGAAATTAAAATAACTGTGTTAAACTTGCTGGGAGACAAGGAATGTCAAAGTCAATATCAATCAGCTAAGCAAAATTGCAGGATTCGTCTTGATATTTTAGAATAAGACCGCATATAACCATCGAAATCAATGAATAGCGTCCTTATGGACAACACAGACCCGATCCATTCGCCGCTCTACTCATAAAAGTACGAATCAGCTGCCCTTTTTCAGGGGGTCAGGGGACMTGAAAAAGTTATCAATTTTTTCGTCCAGTCAAAGTAAACCCCGACCTCCACCCAGGGATATGTGGTGATTTGGTGTGATTTGTTACCTTTTTAGCAGTTTTTGGTTCCCGACTATGTGGGGGATTCACACATTTTGTCATCCCTGCCAAAGGAATGTGGGGCATTAGGTGGGGATTTGTTTTGTAAATTCCAAGATGGCGGCCATTGTTCCAGCAGAGAATTTTGGGTCACTGCTTTTTACTTTTTTATAGAAACGAGAAGCTATAAAAATATGTTGCCAAGCCAAATTTTGTTGCCCCAGGAAGTGGGCCTTTTTTTATYATTATTTACCGCAAATTTTGTCCCCATATATGGTGSGGCATTTGTCAGTTTTAGTTCACTGCATGTCACTGACTATGATTCAATTCTAATCCCCACGTATATCCCAGGCTGGGGGGTCGGGGTTTAATGACACTGAAAACCAAAATAACTAGCCAATCGAAGGAATACACGCAATGTCACAATATGGGGGGTTTTGGTATGCTGCATCTATATAAAAGAGCATTCTTGCTTTGGTGATCATACTTTTAATCATTTTTCTCTGATCGGAACTTTCCTCCTTTTTGGAGGTTAAACTTTTATAATACACACAAAAGATGAAAACGCGGGAGAACTGGAAACTCTGCAGCTGTC